GTCTGCTCTGTAATACTGAATCAACAACGCCAAATCTTTATTATAAGATAAATGATAACGTTTACAAATATTTTTATCAAAGAGATGGGTAATAAATGTATCATTCAATGTGTTTTTGGGCAAAAAGCTAGGGAATTTCCGGGAGCAACACATTGTTATATCTTGAAATGCTATATCTTGTAATCCCACTCCATATGTTAATAGGATTTTAAAGACCCAGATAAAGCCACTTGTTGTAGTCGTACACAATGATATCAATATTTGATATGGAAAACTTCTTTTGAAGGGACTTTTTGTTCGAAACATTCTCAACTAATTTCGAATGATTTTGTTGTCAGTTGTCAAACACATTAAATAAGCAGTGATAATATAAATCCCATCGATTGCAAGCATATATATACACATGTATACTGATCTATTTTATGTTGGAAAATTATAACAATTGTTTGGGGAACGAAAGAGAAATGAACTCACAAACGCAGGAAAGTGGTTCAGAAAAAGAGACACATACATTTAAAAATCAACATTACAATCAGCGACGGCTTTGCGAATGATGTTGACCCTTGAATTGCCAAACGATTTTGAATTTAAATATATTTTTTGACACAAAAGGATGAAACTAAAGATTGACACTATTAGAAAAAATGAAACCAGTAAAATAATAGTAAAATAGAATGGTAGATTAGTGAAATTGTCATTTTAAAGTATATCATCTAATTTGTCATGTTTTGTTAATATTTCGTATGTACAGTTTTCATAGTAGATAAATATAAAGCTTTCTCATGGAGAAAATTTTCCATGATTAAAATGAATACTTCAATTCAGAAATTATAAATTTATTGTGTTAAATCAATCCTCAAGTGTGGTAATGTTCCAAATATTACACAGTATGTAGATTGTATGATTAACAAGTTCAATGGTGTCATCACATGCGATTTACTTATTTATAGATTTGTCTTAAGAGTCAGCCCTTACAAATACATTTAACATTAATAATCAAATTATGGTGAAAAGAAAAAGGAAATAAAAGAATCAAAATAATTTCAACAAAATAATTTCATTGTAGGATGAACCTCAAATGCAATATATGATTTAATAAATGAATGTTGTGGTTGATTCAGAACTCCTTCAACATTTATCAAGAAGGGAAAATTCATTCATATTAGATGCATATCTTTCATATGACCACACATGTTTTGAACGCTTGGTATCATCTCCAGAACTAAATACCGTATCGAATACTACCTACTCTATATGGTATAACCAAGTATGAGAGTACGAGACCACATTTTAGGACTTTCATCAAAATACAAAATACAAAAACTAAGCCTATATCATTTGATTGAGAATTTATCTTTTGATAAAAAAGCAAAATTAATGTGTCGCACACGCAAGCAGTGAGTTATGTTCAAACATGGGCTTTTAATTAGTTGAAAGCCCATGGTTCAAACAAATGCAAAAGTATTAACATCAATCATGTATTTAAAGAATTTTTAAGACCAAGCTTGATACTTTATGGATGGGCTAATGGAACCATCTTGGTATCAAATGATGCTCGATTGAAAGAAACTTATTCGCTTTTCCTACCCCAATCGAATGATTTTTGATTTAGAGAATGCCATTCGCTTTGTCCACCTTTTAATAATGACTGAATGATGAACCTGACCTTATTTGCCTACCTTAATGGCATTGGTGATTGTTTAGCTCTGTAATTCTACTAGAGAAGAATTGACTTTGCTTCCAGGCAGAAAAGAGATAAAAAGAGATGGAGTCATTGCAGCCTCATTCGCCACTTGAGTAGACCAACCGTTGCGTAATATAGACAGGTAAACAGGGCCGACAATATTTATCTGTGTGAATAATTAAGTGAACTATTGTATTGCCCTATTCCATGACATTCCAAGAATTGGCAAGAGACTCGAGTAACCACTGGATTTATCCTACAAGTCTTGTACTTCATACCTGATACCTATTGTGTGCTGTAAACAACAGGCAGAGTCATTTAAAACTCAGATCTCTTTCTAACAAGAGGGCTGCCATCAATTATGTAAAGATATATGCGGAGGGTGCGTGGTTATATAATTCATTCGAACATGACTGTATTCACGCCTTCTATAAACTGTAAACAAAGTCAACATTTCACCCGGGGTATATTCGCGAACAAAATCCCTGGTAATACGTGCAATGTGTGACGTCATAACGGCGGGACGTAGTAATGGCGGTTCATAATGACTATTAAAGATTACTGATAGACAGTAACTCTGGCATAGCCGAAAAGAGCACACATTCCAACGTCCATATTGCTCACCAGGAGCCGTCACCGTGAACAAAAACATTGTGAGGAAAATTATGAAGTAAACATGTTGCATACGTTCTTGTGCATGTGTGGTTGATACCACATTTTATCATATATTTAAATGAATAAGTGAATTAAAATCTACTACACCCGCATAGAAATTTCTATACAGGATTTTTATATCTATACATGCATTTTTTGACCATATAGAACTTTCTATATTGGCCATCAAGCAAAATTATTTTTCTGCGCCGCATAGAAATTTCTATACAGCATTTTTATTTATCGATCTTTTCCCTATAGAAATTTCTATACCGGCAACCAAAATTTATATTTACAACTGCATAGAAATTTCTATACGAACACTTGCTTTAATTAGAAAGGCATAGAAATTTCTATACAGGGAGAAATGTTTTTCTGGTAACAGAATTAGTATTTTCCGACGGCCTTCACATAGAAATTTCTATAGAGGTATTCAGTTTTAAATCTTCTGCTTAATCGGTAGAGAAATTTCTATACCGATAACCAAATGTTCATCAATAACAAAATTAATATTTCCAGCCCCATCCGCATAGAAATTTCTATACGAAAAGTCAACGGAGTCTTTTGTCAGTTTGTTTAGAAATTTCTATCTGAGGATAGTGTATTTGAAAATATAGTTTGAAGTTACATAGAAAATTCTATACGATAAGAAGAAACACACATTAACATGAATATGTATTGATAAAATGATTTTACCTTTATCTGGTTTGATGAAATATTCATATACTTTGTATAAATATTGTAAATCTAATATGATAATAAAACATTGACGGTTGAAATACATGAAATGCACTGCTGTTTTTACGTTTTTGGGTTTACAAAAAGGGACTAAACGGTTCATTCTCTTTTTAAATGGTCACGACTTCCTGTATTTTATTGCGTTAAGGTTAATGTTCAGAACTTCTGTATTGAATGAGTAGATGTGAATAAATCACAAAATGGTGTTTTGGTCTTACATTTTTGTAAAAATATGTATTCACTAAACTTACATTGATTAACTTCAATGAACAATTACAATGACGTTAAGAAATATGAAATAGAACTGACATTGTAGCTGCTAACACTTGTTTTTAATATAAATCGAAGATAACACATAGTAAAGGTTTATTCCTCAGAAATATAAGTGTAAATCCAAGAAGTTGATCCGTTGTAAATGGTATAGCAGGTCCTCAGAATCCGAGTTTCGCCCAGTTTTCCTTGGTAAATTGACAAGGTAAGTAAATTCTTGTTTAATTCATAGTTTCAAACATTTTCCATTCCTTGTATTTGACTTAGGATGGTGTTTTAAGCATTAAGATCGCCAATCATCCATTAGGGTCATTAAGCAATTGTTAATATTGAGTTGAAGTTGTAAATGGTCTAAAATTTCAGATGATACAATTTCACATTTGTCTTGGATCGGGATTCCTGAGAAAATTCCTCACTTATATCATAACTCATACATTGAATTTGGAGATTTTTTTGTATTGACCTACTTTCCGGACACCATGTCTCAAAATTGGTAAGAGGAATAAAAAACGATGGCACATTCTCGAGCCTAATATGTATTACGTGCAGTTTAACACATAAATCCTCTATATCATTGTTATATATCATAAATATAACCTCAAATATGACATAGACCACGTAGCTCCTGTTACGCGGAATATGGCATACAATCATGGTTGCGCGGTATTTGTGATACGGGTGAATATGCCATACTCACCTGCGGTATATGGCATATTCCGCAGGTGAGTATGCGATATTCTGCAGTGAATATGCGATACATTGATTTCAGTGAATACCAGATACTCACCTGCAGAATATGTCATACTCACTTGCGGAATATGCCATATACAGCAGGTGAATATGACATATTCCACAGGTGAAAACGTGATAACGAAAGACTTTGTTTGATTGGTTGCGAAAATCGACTCTAAATGTAAAACTACGCTGGATGACCAATATTGTTAGTACGTCGAGTATTAATATATGAATCCCGGATTGATTGGGTAAGTTTATTACGTGAGATAATACGTCTGCATACGTTGATATATTCGATAAACTGTACTGCTGATTCAGTAATCATTATAATAATTAATGAAGTTTTACTTGTTCGTTTAATCGATGCAATTGACAATTGCGTACCTCCGTATCACGCTCTCATTGGTAAGCGTGTATTCCATATACCGCAGGTGAATCTGTCATACACTGCAAGTGAATATGCCATATTCGTTACTGAATATGGCATATTTTTGTATCGTGTTTACCGCGTAACAGCTCCGAGATCAACAAGGGGGATATTTTTGCCGCGTATTATTACAATTCTCGCATCAGAAGGTGAAACAATCGAAAGGTAAGTTTGAAATATTACGGAGGGTTGGAAAACTCAACGATATAGAAGATTAATTTTTTAAGAGAAATAGTTAACCATTAATTGAACTATTCAGACTGAATTCAGACAAATTGATATCATATTTAAAATCTTTAGCGTCATAACTGCTTCATTATTCGTTAGTTAGTAATGTTCCTTATACGCATATTTATGTAACATTTACTAATAGAATGCCTACATTAAAAAATAAAAAAATATATATAATGTAGCAAATGGACAAGTACATAACACAAACTAAACTAAAACCTAAGTTAATTACCAAATTAAAACGAGAAAAGCAGTAAAATAAAAATAACTCTCAAATTAAGATCCAAATGGAGGGAGGGTGGGAGAAAAAGCTAACAAGTATTACTGCCTAATGCTACATGTGAGCTGCTAAGAGACTGACTGACTGCTAGACTGGAGTGACCATTTGACCTGATGAATATCTCGCATAACCATCAGTACAAGCATAAGTAAATACCAACTCAGATGTCCATATAATTTAAATGAAGACATATCTTTAGTATTTGGAGTTGTAGAAATGTATTGCATCATTAAAACATATCATTACATAGTATTACATAACATTACATGACACAACATCACATAACATTACATAACCCTACATAATTAATTAACCTGAAACAGCACCTTCCAAGAAACTCTAAACAGCGAAAACTTGAAGACAAGTCAGAGATGAGCGTGATGAGCGTGAAACACCGATTTATATTGAGTTGTAAAGAGATGTCGGTAAGGGCAGATAATCCAAGGAAACCTTTCCAAAATGCCTTAAAAAGGTTTTATGAGGATTATTAAATGCTATGCCCCTATTTGCAGTGTATTTAAGGTCATATCTGGGAAGAATTGCTGCTGTTAACATGACCAAGGGAGACACGGCGACTATTAATTTTGTGTAAAACTAAACTTTAATTTTGGTAAAACACTACATTTGAAATGTGTGTAACTTTTTCCCGTTTGTGAGTTGAACCATGATACTTGGCAAATCAATGTATCTTTAGATGAGCTTTAAATTGATATATGATACATACTATGGAAACATTGGTGTATGTCTGGGGGGTCATACTTTCGGGACACCCTCTACTTATCTACTCTACAAGTATATGAGTAATCATTCCAGCAAGTTTAATAAAAGATCAGGTTGTAAATGAAGTAATTTGAAATATTTGATAGGCAATTTCAACAATTAAAACAAAAGTAATGGCTCCAATGATCATACATATAAATGGTTCGTTGTAGTAATAATGGCTCGGATTCGAGGCGGTGTCATTTTCTTCTCAGCCTGGGGTGTACTTGAGACTCTTATTTTCGGAGGGATGATGTTTGGTTGGCCTTCTCTAGTGTTCGTCCTTAAGGAAGAACGTTATTTCAGTCATCTGTGTGAATGCAAGACAAACTGCACGACAAGTGCCTCATCAACAGCTGGTCCAACATCATGTGCGGCGCAGGATGAACAGTTTAACTTGGTATTTGCGATAGCCGGAGCAGTCGTTGGATTTTTACTCGTTTTGAGTGGAACGATATATGACAAGTTTGGTACATTAACTACAAGGTTAATTGGAAGGTAATAGAGCTTATAGGTTGTTCAATCTATCCATACAAAAGCAAATATTATTTGCTAAACACGAGCTTCTGTAACAAAAAGAACGATTGATAAATATCAAGACAACGATTAGAAATAATTGCCATATTAACAGAAAACCAGGGGACCCGGGATAAATAAAAAAAAGTTGAAAGAATCTGGTAATCCTCAAAATACTACTACGATCACAAATGCATATTGTTTGTCATTTTATTTTCAGTGTTATATTTTTGTCTGGATCTCTGACGATAGCATTCTCCACGCCAGGTACGTGCAACAGACATAGTGATACAAAATTACCATTGTCGAAACTCGTTTCGTTCGTTGCGTACCTTCACTACCTCTCTCTCTCTTAAATTCCCAGGGCACGATCTAACCCTACTATCACACCAAACTAGTTCTCACTACGTTCTCGAAAACGGGCTTCAACTGTGTACGAACGGACTGGACCTACTAAGAACCGTTTGGGATCTATTTACAAACTTCATCGAACGTACTCGAACGGGTAGGTCCTCTAGAACTTAGACAATGCTCAAAATGTTCTCGTGGTCGTCACGTTCTACAATTAGAACGAGTGACAACGTACTAACAACGAGCTGGACGAACTACGAACGGAACCGTCGTACTTCAATCCTACTAGGGACGTTTTAACAACGAATTGAACTGTCTGAGGACGTGTTGAGAACGAGGTAGAACTAATTGCAAACGGGTTTAAACTGATTAAGAACGTATTTAACACTGCTTATGAACGAGTTAGCAAAAAATATAGCTATCACACCAAACAAGTTGCCACTGCGTTCTTCAAAACTGGTTTTAAACTGTGTGCGAACGGAATGAACGTAGCTGCAACTTTCTAAGGTCTATTTACGAACTTTATGAACGTTCTCAGACGGGAATGTGATTTTAGAATTTTGAATCGATTCAAAATTCGATGGCGACCATACCGTTCTGTTATCATGTCATGTTGACCTTCTAGACTAAGGCACGCGTTCTACGACGTTGCACACCGATGTGGTGCGACCTGAACGAACTGCGAACGCGATGGACGTATTGAAGACTGTTTAAGAACGAAGAAGCTAATTATTTCAGACATATTTCCCGATCTCAGCCATATTGAGCCCGTTTTACGACGTTTTCGTAGGACTGGCAAGAACGGGTAAGAACTAGTTTGGTGTGATAGGGGGGTAAGAAAGCTTGAGAAATTAGTCTGCTCTGTAATACTGAATCAACAACGCCAAATCTTTATTATAAGATAAATGATAACGTTTACAAATATTTTTATCAAAGAGATGGGTAATAAATGTATCATTCAATGTGTTTTTGGGCAAAAAGCTAGGGAATTTCCGGGAGCAACACATTGTTATATGTCAAAATTGATAATCACTGGATTCAACATTACTACACGTTTTCAAGATGGCAGTTTCAAAATTTTCTACAATAGTTTCAAATAATATTATGTTGATTTCTGGCGAGTTAACCTTCCAAAGTGTTTGAAATAAATTAAATAGGTTACATGTATTGATAGTTTTCTGAGTATATCGTAGCTTGTTCTTTCACAAAATAAGATAAAGAAATGTATTTGCTTTTATCGAATAAAACATCATATTGACATGTCGTTAACTAGACGGTGTAAATTACGAAGGAAATGACGTCACTTCTCAAAAGGAATTCTATTCACTTATTTCTAACATTTCGTTACGAATTACTCGATATTTTTCGTATGGATGGTTTCTTATTACATTAGAAATAAACATCTTATAAAATATGATGAATTAAATTGATAGCAAACACGAAGAAATATATATCTTTTAAAGTAGGTCAACAATTTTAGACGGGAATTTTAAGGTCTGCATGAGGAAAGGTAGAGGAGGCACGGATTGCACTAAACGAAGGCTAGGAAATTGGAAAATTATTGACAGAACAGTATGTCAACTATAAATGGTACAATGCGCATTTAGTTTTGCAATACCTCGAAGTTAAGGATATAGTAAGATAAATCCTGGATTGATAGCTTTATTTGATTAACACGTGGTAGACTGCGATATTTAGAAATATTTTGTTTCATGAATATGACCCCTTTTTACACATTGAAACACGTGTAAATTAGAAAGTAGAATTTGAGATGTCAATTCAAAGTCTTATTAACATCTCAAGTTTACTTTCTAAGCTTTAAACACAAAGTTTACTAACTCTATTCCAGCGATTCCGTACGTCCTATACCCGTCAGTCATATGCGTGATGTACGGGGGTTTCTTTATCTTCATGACTAATATGCAACTTGGAAATCTTCTCAACAGAGGGCGCAATACTCTGATATGTATTGTGGATGGGGCAGCTGATTCAAGCGCATTCGTCTTACTTCTTGTCAAAGTAGGTGTAGCCATTTTGTTCACATTATAGAGTTTTTTGTTTTCTAAAAACAAACATCTCATTCTAAGAGACTGTACTTGATGTAAAACATCCTCTCTCTATAGTTACAATTTTTACATCATGACTGAGAAAATCAAAAATTCTGTATATATAGAGGTTATTTAATGGGAGGGATGGAATGTGAATTTCATTTCGAAAGAATTATGGTTTGACCAGGGAAAATATCATATTGACCATGGGGGACAGTGATGTTTACTGATGTGATATGATAGTCGGAAGCTCATGGTTTAGAAATACAGGGTGGGCCAAAAAAACGCCACCCTTTTTTCAAAATGCTACAACTTTTTTAGTTTTTAATACAAAATCATAATTTGCATACCAAATGAAACTTGAGGTTGTTAGCTAGCCAAGAATCATGAATTATACACTTTTACTTGAATAAATTATGTCACCACATCTCACTTAAACATGTGGTGTGGCATGGAAAATAAGCATAATTTGCAAAATGTTCCTGAACTGATACGGCCTGATGATCGCCAAGCTAATAGCCCTGATGCAATCCCCAGTGAGTATAGGGTATGGGAAGGTCTTAAGGAGATAGTATGAAGGCACACAATCTAGAAAATTGCTCAACTAAAGCTGGCAATTAAGAAAGGTTGAAAGAACTTAGCTAACATTTCATTGATACTGCTCTATCAGCAAGGCGACTAAAACTAAAATATATCATCAATTAGGGTGGCGGACCAATCGAACTCCCCTTTTAGATCAGATATTATCTAAGTTGAAGGAATTGTTACATTATAATTCAACAAATACAATAGGTGATGTAGAACACGTTCTTTTTTGTTGTTCTCAATCAGAACTAAAACTAGCTCGATCTCAATATCTCAGTGAAATAAAAAGTATAAACAATAGTTTTTCTCATTTTAATACAAGTAGTCTATTTTTATACTCCCTGTTAGCGCACGATGATGCAATTAATGAAATAATTGGTGATTATTTTACAAGAGTTCACAATATTACCAAAGAGTTGTTAAACAAAACTGACGTGAAATCATTTTATGCTGTTTAGTAAAGTACTTAGTGATTGTTAAAATTAGATTGTAAGAATTGTTTTGCCATGCATGTACATGAATGTTTTATTTGTTATTTGCTTTATTGAACTTATCTCGATGTACATTACATGTTCAAGAGACCAATAAACTTATTTATAATAAAATTATTACTAAGAACTGTGGCGAAGTTGATTCCTATCTTTTACAAAACATGAAAACAAATATAGTTTAAAATATTAATTTATTAAAGAAAAGTTTAAAGTCCAAAAGTATCATTTCAATCGGCTACTTACAGTTTTTGGTTTGTCCCGAGTTCACGCAACGAGGTTCTGAGGATTTCAGACAAATTGCCCCTTTTATACCCAATTTTTTATGTGGGCCCCGCCAAAAAAGGGGTCTTATCCAATGAAATCCCCTAAAAACCCATTAACAAAAATTGGCCGGAAAGAAGTGTGAAAAATTATATGAAGATTAATTATCAACATGCCAGATTTCTGCCCACATTATTTTCTAAAAAGTTGAAAAGTTCCCATTTATTTCAGTTTTTGTTGAAACTTTTGAGACAGGTATGATTAATAACTGAATCCCAGAACCTCGGTTCAGACAATTCTCATGAACTTTTTACCTTACTCATTTAAACCATTAAGTCATTATCTCTTCAAAATACATGTTTTATAATATTTTAAACAATAAAAGTTAGCAAACCCTTACATGATGATGTGTTTTCATAACTTCTTTCATAAAATTCCATCAAGGGGTGAAGATAAAATTATCGAATTTAAGTGATTAAGGATCACGAGGATATGTTTTCTTTGATATTTTCTATGAAATCCCATCCAATGGTCAAGGTAAAATTTTGATTTTGATTTGGTATTAGGTCACGTCTTCGAAAGATCCATATAAGGCCCATAGAACCATATAGGAACGTCATTTTTGAATGTCACGTGATAGATCCATATACGTTTTTTAGAACCATGTATGGAAAGATGAGGGGAAGCCCCTGACACCTGTTTCTCGATTTTATCCGAACGTTGTTCGGATCATTTCGGTTTTTATGCACTTCATTATTGTACCGAAGTTTCCCGATTCGATTCGTCGTATTTCGGAATCCTGGTGACAAGTTTATACTCCATTGGAGTATTTTTGACCTACTTCTTATGACGGAAATTCCCGAACCTTGTTCGGATTAATCCAAGAGGGGGAGAAACCCCAGGGTTCAAAGATGACATACGCTTATAATGTAAATCTGTATTGAGATGACATCGTCGCTGATTGGTTTAGCGAGTCGATCGTTGATTGGTTTAAAACTAGGTCAATTTGAAAACTTTGAAAACCAAGATGTATGGTAAGTACTTCCGGGAAAGGAGGTGCGCGAAGGAGGAAATCGTTTGTCATCAATTGAATCATGGGGTTTTCCCTTCTCTTGATTAATCCGGATTTTCTGACCTACTTTATCTACCGAGATTTCACGAGTTAACATTCGTCTCATTCCGGAATCCTGGTGACAATTTTATACTCCATTGGAGTATTTTTGATCTACTTTTTCTTGATTTTGCCCTACTTATTATATCTTGACAACAAGCAAATCAAAAAGTTCGACATGAACGGGTCTCGATCAACTAACCTAGACAATGGAAGCCAGGCACGCTAACCATGAGACCAATGAGCTACCGATATGAAAGAACAAAAGTATTATATATTTATACCGAGCGTCAATTCAAAATGATCCTCACTTAAATACGACTCGTCAGTTACTATTTTTGTTTTATTAAATACGACAGAAAGGAGCAAGGTGTAGGTTGAAAACAAGACGTTCGTTTGTTTCAAAACAGTTTGGAAACATTAATCTCTGATAATTTAAGGTTTTCCACTCCTGAAGGGCCTCTAGATCTATGAAATTCAATAATCCACTCAGTAAAAATACGATTTCTCTGCAACCTGATGTCCAATCAAGATCATTCAAATATATATGTGTTCCTGACACGTTTGGGCGTCCGGGAATAAAATTGCTTGTAAAAACTGGCTTTGTATAAAAAACCTCCTACCTCATACCCACCTACCCACGTACGTGGGACATAATACAGTCTTTGAAGGGTTCAATTTTAAAGATCTTAGTCTATTAAATCTAAATTTATGATGAATTATAGAAGCATTTGTAACGATCCTTGATAGCAAGTTGCTACTACATCCCAGCTGGGTTCGATTCCCACTCGGAGCATCGAATTTAGCACACTTTCTTTCAATTTCTTTTTCTGGCTTGTTGGACCTATGGTCGCGGTCGTTAGTTATTTATTCCCCCGGGGCGCCCTCGGATCATAACACATTAAAATGCATCCACATGCCTTTATTTATGGATCTGTCATCTGTCTAGTCATAAAACAAAGCCGGAATTGTAGAAATGTTAATACTTTGAGCTATTTTGAGATTTAATAATCATTAAAATTGAACCCTTCAATGACTGTATCATGTTCCACGTAGGTGGGTATGAGGTAGGAGGTTTTTTATACAAAGCCGTGAAAACTATATACAAAAGTGTTCCAGAGACCCTTATCTACTTGGCTAAGGTTTTATTTGAAGATACATTGCCTTATTAAGCAGGGAGAGGGGCATACAGAACACGGAAGCAAATGCTATGTTGAAAATTTTCTATATTTCTATTTGAACCTGTGTTTACATGTCACGTAGGCCAGTGTTTTATATGGGGATTATATGTACTTTACTTGTTTACATGAACGTAAATCATTACATGAAATCTGCATTCTTCTGGG